TGTGTGTGTGTGTGTGTGTGTGTGTGTGTGTGTGTGTGTGTGTGTGTGTGTGTGTGTGTGTGTGCGTGTGTGTGTGTGTGTGTGTGTGTGTGTGAATCCACCTGGTTCTTAATCTCATGTATGCGTGGTGACTGTAATGAGATTCTTTTTCAGTGTCATCAAAGGGTGTAGTGCTTTCTGTTTGTAGTGCTTTTGGGTTCCCTCGATTTGTTTGCTCTGGGTTGCATCAGGATCCACAACTTCTTCTGAGATTTCCTGGGGCTCGAGCCTGGCAGACCTCTTTGGATGGTGGAGCCAACCAAAAGGGAAAAGAAATGCACCACGCCAGTTCGTTTTTGTTTGGCGTGCAGCACAGATGTTACATGTCCAGTTGGGCAATGCATGTAAAGCCAAGGATCCGCAATGTGATGAAAAGGACCGAAGGGACAATGCAGTGCTAGAGGAATCTCAACAAGCAGTGTACATCCTGATACATACAAAAATGGCTCTTTGTAGCGCAGTGGAAGACTTAGATATCATCCTCATCACAAGGTGTGAAGGGGGGCCTGGCGCTACACACAGGAAGAATGTGCCAGGTCCAGACCATACACAGACGAAGAGGAGGGGATCAGACGAAGGAGAGGGGGAAGATGGGAATGTCGTCAACACCAAGTCTTCGGTACAAGTCCCAGATAATCCCTCGTCAAATGTCTGAAGCCCAATGTCGAGTCTGAATCTAAATGTCACCAAGCCCGCTCAGGTGGTCTGCTGATGCAGTGAAGTCAGGTAGCGAGAGGGTGAGAGGGAGATGGTGGACTGAGAAGAGGAAGAAGAAGAACTCTCTCTCTCATGTGCCAGGTACTAACCTGTGAAGATGGCGCTGTGCTGCAGGTACCTCGAAGACGAAGCTGGAGCTATGGCGCTGCAGGTAAGTCTCCCTGGCCTCCGCCCAATCTCTCTCTCTCTCTCTCCAGTACTACTCTAGCTCCTACTAGCGCCCAGCGCTGAAGACAAACGCTACTACTCCTGCAGCGCTCCTCCAGAGTGTTGCTGCCGAATCCTGAAGACTACCTCCTGCCTCCTGAACTGCAGGTGAAGTGCCTGGGAAGTCCCTATGAACTACCTGCAGCCTGCAGGGCGGGCCAGTCCTATATAGTGCTGGCCCATCCAGGAGGCTGCTCTTGCCAATGCCAAAACGTGCCAGCCCCTGGCGTTGAAGCTCAAACAAAGGTTGTCTTGAAAACAGGCCCAAAATGGCCTGTGCTAAAACCCTGGTCTGGTGCTTAAGTTTCAGGGCAGGTCGATCTTATGAGGGCCTGAAAATGGCCCTCTGTTTCAGGCTGGAAAGACTCAGGGCCTGGAGGGCCCTGTTTTAGGCTGAAACGACACAGGGCCTGTAGGCCCTTGTTTTCAGGCTTTCAGGCTGAAAACGACACGGGCCTGGCCCGTGCAGCCTGTTGCAGGCGAAGCATGTAACAACAGATGTGGGTCGGGAAAAAGAGGCTCAGAGGTACTCATGGTTAATTTTTTTTTTCCTTACTGTTGTAATTTTTTTGAAAACATTTAATAAAATAGGTCAACTGGTTCATGATCTCATGCATGCGTGGTGGCTGTGATGAGGTTTTCTCTGTGTCATCACAGGTGTAGTCCTTTCATATTCCATATATTTTTTAGTATTTAGTTTTGTTGGGTGATTGTTTGCTGGTTAACACTAAGGAGTGGGGCGAGGGCAGTCACTCGTGTGTGTGTGTGTGTGGAGAGAGAGAGAGAGAGAGAGAGAGAGAGAGAGAGAGAGAGAGAGAGAGAGAGAGAGAGAGAGAGAGAGAGAGAGAGNGAGAGAGAGAGAGAGAGAGAGAGAGAGAGAGAGAGAGAGAGAGAGAGAGAGAGAGAGAGAGAGAGAGGGCGGAGAAGGGGGGGGAAGGTGGGACTGAGGCAGTTCTTGCCACAAATGCAGAGGCGCATCCTTTCAGCCAGACTCCAAAAGTAGTTAGAGATAGCCCCCAGATATAGAAGCCCAGTGAAGGCTGCACCCACGGTCGAAGTTACTAGCTCTGGGATACCTGTCTTGAAGACTGGGTGAAACTTGAACTCGGCCGAAACCCAGGGGACAATAATTTGAGATCATTGCCATCAAGGCGAACGGAACTTTCTCCATCTGATGAGGACTGCATGGAAATCAATGTCGTGTAGTCAATGTAGTCTGATTTTGCTATTTTCTTTCCATCCTCGACTCAGTGAGGAATTCTGAGGTGATCCTCAGCCGAAAGTCGTTTGCATTGCAATTCTACGCAACATATCTTTTCCCCGGAATTCCCCTCCCCCCCCCTCCCCCCACAATTTTTGCACTGGGGCTGGCTGGAACCCCACATGGGGGTCATGTCCGGCTGCGCATCGGGTCATGTATGTGGGCACGAGTTGCACCTGTGCAAGGAAAACGAGCAATAGCGAAATGACAGATTCCAGATTGCAAAATCACATTGAAAGCCAAGAAGTCCGATACTGTCCAGAAAGCAGAATTGCACCGATGTATCACCAAAGGAGAACCGAAGTACTGAATCTGAATGTCAATGAGCATACTCTCGTCATCACCAACATAAGTATCCAGAGCCCTTCCTCCTACCTGGCGCTTGGCGCCCAGCCTACTATCATGCAGCTACTTCCAGCCCATGAATTGAGAATGCAATTGTTGACATCAGCGGCAGAACCGACGTGCTTGAAGATGTTGACCCATGCAGACCATCGCCGATACCAGGTATGTGCCCTCACATCCTCATCCTCGTCCTCATCCTCGTCCTCATCTCTCTCTCTCTCTCTCTCTCTCTCTCTCTCTCTCTCTCTCTCTCTCTCTCTCTCTCTCTCTCTCTCTCTCTTCCTCGTCTTCTTCTACCCACGTCTTCACCTCATACACGAAGACCACCACCACCTCTGCTGACCCTGTCCAAGCCCAGCCTGGCTATGTCTGGCTATGTCGCCGCCCTCAGCGTGCACACACTCTTGCCTTGTACTAGCACAGCAGCCTGCGAGCGCTTCGCTCCAGCAGCGCTGCCGCTTCAGCAAGCAAGTGCCCGGCCCCTCTCACCGGTGCCCTGCCCTTTGCCTCTGCCTTCCATGTGAGACCGCGTTTCCAGTAGCTTCAGTTTCGGCCAAATTGTCTGCGCCCAGGCCTGTTCAGACAGTGGCCCGGGACCGAATTTGTTAGGCATGCCCAACCACCCAGGCAGGCACAGGCGTGGGTTGCTGCCTGCTTACACCACGTGCCGCCAGTGCCTGGAAGGGTCAAGAATATTTTGGACTCTCACGAGCAAGGCAGATGTAACCAACTGGCGCGTGGCAACTGTCTGGCGCCGACCAAGATTTGCAAAAATTGACGAGTTCAGGGCGCATTGAGATTCAGGGGGCCTGCCTTCACTTAGGGCGGCCACACACCTGCTGCTGACGAGGCCTAATCCCTCGCACCTGGAAAAAAAACAAGTAAAAATGTATATTACTAGAGCATGTGGTGGACTGTTTTGTTAACTTTGGATTGGTCTCTGAAGTGTTTTTGTAATATTTCATATTTTCTGTCCGCCTCTCTGTTTTTTTGATTGTGTTGCTCTTTGCATTGCTTTCTTTGAAACAGTGTGTGCATGGGCAAATGAATGCGTTTTGGTGTAATTGTACCTTTCTCGTTCTTTCGTATATATATATGTATATATATATACACACACACATAGGTACTGGGATTTGCGGTCGCCCAACGCTGTTGCAAGTGTTCAACTCCCTGAGCGCTGTTATGCCATGAGCGTGAAGCACCCACTCATGGTGGTGGCCACTGCTGATCGCAACATCATCGTCTTCAATCTTCAAAATCCACAGGTGTGTGCAGTGGATGCAGGGTCTGACATCATTTTTTTTGCCTGCCTGCCTTTTGTTTTTCTTTTTTGAATTCTTCCACTGATTGTGTTTTTCTTTTTTTGGTTTTCTACCACAGGGTTAGAGTTCCCAAAAGATGCTAGCATATATATTCAGCCTCCTGATGAGTCGGTGAAACTCCAGCGAAACAGTTTGTCACAGCCCCTCGTTTGTTGTCCTCTTCTCCCTCTCTGCCTACGGTTTACCGGGCAGCTCTGTTTGACGATATATTGCATTAAATATATGCCGACTCTGCGACACATGATCACAACCGCTGTCAAAAAAAGGGGACTGTACTGCTTGAAGGTGCAACAGAGACAGAGAGAGAGAGAGAGAGAGAGAGAGAGAGAGAGAGAGAGAGAGAGAGAGAGAGAGAGAGAGAGAGAGAGAGAGAGAGAGAGAGAGAGAGAGAGAGAGAGAGGCCAGCAGTCAGGGGGGTTAATCACACAAGGCCTTTCTTGGATGTATTTCTTCAATGTGATTGTAGCCAGATTCAGTCTGGAAAGTCCCAGTAAAGAGGCTACAGGCCTTTGCGGCCCTCAAAAGAGGCCACCCCGTGAAAAACTGGCAGGGCCTAATTGAAGACCGCACCTGGGCAAGAAAAGCGTCCCTTGTCGGAGCCCAGCCCAGGTAACTACCCTGTTGACCCAGTCAGAATACCGGCCTGCGTAGTAACGTGGGCTTGGAGGGACCAGACCGCGGTGTGAAGACAGAACAAAAGGAGCAGAAGGAGATTCGGGCAGTCAGTGGCATGTGGCAGAGCTAGAGCAGCGCATGCCGCCAGTTGGGCAGCTGTGAGAGGAAGCATAGCTGTGGCTGCCATAGCTAAACAGCACAGGGCTTGGAAGGGGTGGTGTGCATGGGGAGCGTGTCAGTGATCATACTCTTCAGCAACATCTGGCAAGAGCTGAGTGGAGGGAGAGTGTGAGAGGTGGTAGGCTAGCTTGCGTAGGTTGAGTAGGAGAGTAGTCTAGGCAGACACATCATAGCAGGTGTAATACATTGTTGTTGCATTGATTGCTGGGGGCGCAAAGAGAGCTTTGTTAAACCACCACTCCAACCGAAGCTAAATTGTCAAACCAAATCTGCATCTTCCCAAGCCTGCAGTCTACAGTGTATGTCGTTGCTTTCTTTGAGAGAGGTCCCGGTGCCAGCCTACCTTGACCAAATCTGCATCTTGCCAAGCCTGCAGTCTACAGTGTACGTCGTTGCTTTCTTTGAGGGAGGTACCGGTGCCAGCCTACCTTGAAACTGAAGTGCTGTACCTTGTGCCATTTGCTGGCACGAAAAAGACAAGGGCAAAAACAACAAAAGAAAAACTAAAACGAGAATTTCAATGGTGTCTTGGAAGGCCCCTGCTGAGGGCATACTCACACTAGTACTTCCCAGAATGTATCTGACCACTATTATGGCCAGATCTTTTTTGTTGTTTTATGTTTCTTCTTAGTGCCCTGCCAGGATTTTCCATGTGCTTGGAAACGCCCTCACTGAGGGCATATTCACATTCGTACCTTCCAGAATGTATCTGACCGCTATCACAGCCAAATCTTTCTCTTGTTTTTTTTTTCCGTTCTTTCGTTTGGCTGAAGGCATACTCACACAAGGACTTTCCAGAATGTATCTGACCCCTATTGCACGCAAATCCTTTATTTTTTCTCTTGTTTAGTTTTTGTCCCTGCCAGCAAGGCAGGGTGTCTACCGATATTCTGCTGTAAATAGTGTGACCCAGTCCAGTTTCTGTCCTTTTTTTTTTTTCCCGATTTCGATAGATTTTTTGGGCCCACCAGCCTTTTCCCTCCGACCCTAAGCCTTGCCTGATTGCTGTAGATTTTGCTGTGGGACTCGGTCCGAGAAAAATCTACAGTGACAGGGCACTTGGAGTGGTGGCTTAAGGGACCTAAGCGTTCAGAGCATCGTAACCGCGGACCCGGACACCGGACACTTCCGGACTGTTTTCCGTACCTGTGTCTGGACCAGTCCGGGCATCATCGGACACTGGACTGTCCGGACTGTGTTGGCAGGTACAAGATGTCCAGAAAAAAAAAAGGCGGGGAGGGAGCTCCCTGGTTCGCACTTCATGGCGGAGCACCTGCATCAGACTGTCCACAGTTCATTAAACAAGTGATCAACAAAGTTGGACTGTTGGGCAAACACATTACACTAAAGAAACACGACAAAGTTCAACAAAGACAGACAGTGCAAGGCCTTAACAAGACACATTCAACAAACACGTTCAAGTTGATTGAACAAACACACTCAACAAACACATTCAACAGGCACAACCAGCAAATGTAGTTTGAACTTTCTGAATGCAAAACTTGAAAGAGTTCAGTTGTTGAACGAATTCCAGCAAAAAATGTCAATTTTCATCAGAAGAAAGTTCAACAAACACATCCAAAAATGGTCTCTCTCTCTCTCTCTCTCTCTCTCTCTCTCTCTCTCTCTCTCTCTCTCTCTCTNTCTCTCTCTCTCTCTCTCTCTCTCTCTCTCTCTCTCTCTCTCTCTCTCTCTCTCTCTCTCTCTCTCTCTCTCTCTTCAGCGCGATGTCTGACTGCGCTGTAATCCGGAGTCATCCTCTGCCTTCGACGAACTCCCATCTTCCTTCCGGCCTTCGCATTCGGAGTCGTCCTCTTCCTCCGACAACCTCCCATCTTTCTCGCCGCCATCGCTGCTGCCACGACCACCTTCACTTTCATCGCTGCTGCCGCTGCCATCACGTGCACCTCCGCTGCGGCCGCTCCCGTCATTTTCATCATGCTTAGCCCCGCTTTTGTCGCTGCTGCTGCTTCCGTCGCTGCTGCCATGTTTGTCAGCGCTGCTCGTCTTTTCAAGCGCTGCTTCCTCTTCCTCTTCGACGGGCTGCATCTGCAAACGTCCTCGCTTCCGTGCCTCCCTTCTAGTTCCAGCCTCCTCCTCGTCCACGGGCGCCTTCTGCGGTCGTCCTCGCTTTCTTGTCGCACATGCGGGTGCAGGACCCTCTTCCAGATGTCCACCTTCTACATCCTCAACTTCCTCATCACCTGTCCCCTCATGAGTCGCAGCGTCCTTTCAAGGTCTCCTTCTCCCTCGTTTGGCTGGTACGGAGGGTGGTGCACATGCAGCAGCCCGCGCAGCTTTGTACTTGTTGGCATGCTCGAGGGTCATGGTCCTAGTAGCCTGATCCAAGTCATGCAAATGCTGTCGGGCCAAAAACTTGGAAGCCTTCGTGGCCTTCCTCCACGACTCGTTGAGCTCCCTCTCGAGCTCGAACAAATCGCTCTGCAGCCGATGATGCTGAACTGTGACCTCCTCTGCAATAGCCATTTGTTGTGCTTGGACAGGAATGTCCTCCTCGTCGGAGCCCGAGTCGTCATTCTCACCTTCGTTGTGAACCGAATGTGTTCCGTGCAACCGGGCACGCCACTCCCCCAACTGTAGGCGTGCATCCGACGCCATCTCATCTCGTGTGAGATCTTCCACCGGTTCATCCGCTTCCCACTTGGTTGAATCGCCGGCCTTCGGTTTCTTGGTCAAGAAGTCGAACAAGTGCTGGTTCCATCTGTTGAAAACCAGCATGCGTGTGAGATCTTCCACCGGTTCATCCGCTTCCCACTTGGTTGAATCGTCGGCCTTCGGTTTCTTGGTCAAGAAGTCCAACAAGTGCTGGTTCCATCTGTTGAAAACCAGCGTGCTTAGCTTGATGGCGCCAAGATTGTTGCGGAGATGGCTGTGAATCCGTTCGAACAAGCTCGAATTCCTTTCGCAACTAGTGGAGGAGGAGGCTTGTCCAAGGAGGCGAACGACTTGCTTTTGGAGGATGGGCATGTCACTGCACCACTTCTGCCACCACCTCGCCGGCTGCATCGTACGGGCTTGTGTCCCTGCATTTTCGGTAGTGTGTTTCCCGGTGCCCTTGATCCAAGAACAGACCTGCGCGCCAACCTCCATATACGCAGCCTCCTTGCACCACGAGTAAAGCCATGTCCAAAACCCGTCCACAATCTTTGCATTCGTTTCTGGCCGCGACGCTCTTATACTCCGGATCCAAAAACAGCGCAGCACAATGCAGTGGTGAAGTCATTGTATTCCAGGGCCGCATGATGATTACCTCTAGCTCGTACTTTTCCGCTTCCGTAAAGTGTGTGCTCTCTCTCAGTTTCTCCACTGCGCTGTCCATACGGGCATACACCTTACTGATGGTGGGACCCGTGCCATCGACCAACTTCAAAAGCTTGAGGAGGTGCTTGGACGTTTGCATCACCTTCTCGATATCTGCCCAGAAGGTGTCATTGAAGATGGAATGCGTCACCCTCAGAAACAGTTCGTGTTGCGAAGTGTGCACAATCAATGGCTTCCAGTCATCGCCTGTCACACACACTCGCAGCGGCAAGTATAACCCCTGCAGGCTCGACAACATGATGAAGTTCGTGGCAAATTGGGTCGCACCCGGTTTTGCCACGACACCGCCATTGGAGTAGTGGATGAGGAGATCCCGCACCGGCGAAAGGTTCGTGAAAAAATTTGCTACCTCTGACGCCCTTTTAATAACTTCGCCCACCCATGTGATCTTCGCGAAAGACTCGAAAATGAGGTCAAGCGAGTGCGCTGTGCATGGGACCGAGAAGATGTAAGGGTAATCTGCTTCCACCATTCGCCCCGCTGCACAAACGGCAGCATTGTCCATAACGACCCCCACCACTGCCTCCGCACCTATCTCCTCTATTGCCCTCTTCAGAATGCCATAGTATGCCGAGGCGCCTTTGTTGCGCCGTGACATGCACACAGTTCGCCAAAAGATAGAGCCCTTCGGAAAGGAGACCATCACGTTGATGTGTGGTCTCTGTCGGCGATCTGTCCAACCATCAAGCTGCAACATGCAGCCAGTGGTTGGCCACTCGTGCCGCAACTCCTCCACCCTCTTTGCAACCCTGCCCCTCGTCACTTCAACCCTCTTCGTCCTTGCATTCTTGAATTTCGCGTACTGGAATCCTTTGGGTGCGTTCATGAGGGCATGCACCATTCTGTCCCAGTACTCGCTCCGCATCATATTGAATGGGATACATTCTGCCGTCATCCAGTCATCCACCGTGCGCTGTGTTTGCTCGTGTGCCGTGATCACAGCAGCGCTGTCCTCGATCGTCGTTTGACGGAGGCCGACTACACCTGTGGACGATTGGGGAGTCGCATGACGGAGCCCTGCCGCAGTCTCAGATCGATCGACTACTCCGGCTTCCATGGTCCGCTGCTCGTTGTCATCGTCCGATGATTCCCCCTCTGCAGTCTCTCCCATAATGACTCCCAACTCTGACCTTGCAGCCAATCTCCCCTTCACCCTCCTTGAGTACTCTTCTCTCGGCACAACACCTCGCAGGTGGTCGACATCGCATCGCGAACCCTTCAAGAAATGGTCCCTTCCCTGCTCGCTGTCCCGGCCACAGGCTTGTCACAGTAATTGCAGATCCGCTGTTTGTTACCCTTGTCGGCTCTGCCGCTGTCTCCCACCTCCGTGAAGTGCTTCTTCACGGGCTCACTGCGGCTCTTCGTCATCCTGCAACCAAACGACGAAAGCTGAAGAAACAATAGTGGTTAAAGCCAGTTCACTCCCCAACCCTCAGTGCTCTCCCTCCCTCAACACTCTCCCTTGTCCACTATCTATCCACATCCACCAGTCTGGTCACTGAAAACAATCAAGCAAACAATCAAGCAAACAATCAACCAATGAATCACACAATCAATCAATCAATCAATCAATCAATCACCTCCCCAACCTCGCCCTACCTCTGCCTGTCCCAGAACCTCCCTACCTCTGCCTGTTCCCCCTACCTCCGCCTGTCCCCCCCTACCTCTGCCTGTCCCCCTACCTAACCTCCGGCTACCTCCGCATGTCCCCCCCCACCTCCCCGAACATCCTATCCCCCATCTTTCCCTCTTCCCCCCTATTTCCCCGAGCCTCCCACCCCCCTTATCTCCCTGAACCTCGTTCCTCCCACTGTGCGCCTTCCCCCTCCCTCCCCAAACGTCCACCCGGACCTCCCCGAACCTCGTACCGAACCTCGTTCCTCACACCGC